GGGCAGGATGGCAAAGAACAATGCTAGCGCCCTTGGGATTCATCATGGCATCAGCCAACCGTAAGGCCAGTCCCGAGACCCAGGTGATCTTCGTTCTTCTCACTGTTCTGTCCCGGCTGTCTCTCTTTGCCCAGTCGTCCAGGAGAGCTGTGCCTCTGACTTGGAGACATGGTCATGATGGGGACCACACCGTAATCACAACAATAAAGATGATAACCACGACCGTGTACAAACTCTGCGCATCCCTGGTGTTATCGCCCCTCCCAGAAAACCGGATCAAAACACCGAGGGGTTGTTTTTCTCCCGCACTTCACAGATGAGGAATAGAGCTTCGAGTGATTAAATGACTTGCCCAAGGGGACACCACTGCTAAGAAGTTGAGCCAGGACCCCAACCCAGCTCCAACCTGTTTCAAATGTCTGATTACTTCCACTCCATCTCTGGGAACTTGGCGCAGTGTGGCTTTGTTGCTAGATTCTACTGACACTAGGGAGAAAGCCCAAGGGCAAGCCTAAGCCAGCTAACAGGAGAGAGCTCATAAAAGGCCCCATGTTGGCTGCTTCTCTGCTTCTCTCAGTCTAGCCATGGGAGTGGCTGTGACCCTGAGTCCTCTAGAGCCGTTTAATTTAAAAATGTGTTTAAAAAGGCTCTTCCTACCACTTCACCAAGCTGGTAATGACCTCACAAATCAGCGAGAACTGAGTGTAAATTTTGGAGCCTCCTCTTACTAATGTTACCTTGGGCAGTTCCCCAACCTCTCTGAGCCCGATTCCCACTGCAAGATGTAGAGAATGATGGTGTCTACCACCAAGGGGCAGTGTGGGGGTTCCACCAGGCAGGCAAGGGATGTGACGCTGTTAGCACAGTGGCTGGCGTGTGATGTATGATCAATAAATGGTAGCCATTATTAATTGAATTATGGCAATGATGACGATGATAGTTGTACTGGTTAGTTATTGCTCCATCCCAAACAACCACAAAACCTCAGTGGCATACGACAGCAGCATTTAATTAGTTCTTTAATTACCCACAGTTGGCTGACGTGGGCTGGGCTCAGCTGGGGCTGCTCTACTCCACCTGGCTCCCGTCCTCTTCCCGGGCCCTCAGCAAAGGCGGAGGCACAGGAAAGAGCAGGAGCTGAACCACACAAATGCATTTCAAGTCTCTGCTTGTGTCGCTTCTGCTAGCCTCCCACTGGCCAAGGCACGATGCAGGGTGGAGCCCCGGCTCAAGAGGTGCAGAAGTACACCGAGCCACCACAGGAGGGCATTGCCAAGACTCATACCCAAGAGTGTAGGTGTATAACCCTACGGCTGGCCAGGGAGTGAAGAGCAGACTGGTGACTCCACCTCCTGCAATGAATGGAAGCAGTAGACAATTCACAAAGCTGCTGCTGGGTGCTTGAATTAGGTCCCACCGCTTTGGACAGCAGCTTGTTGAAGAGAGGCCCCTTCCTGTGATTTGAGAGAAACTCTTGGACATATGGCAAAGACACATACACCAGAGTATTTATAGCAGCGTTGTGTAACACAACCCAAACCTGGACACATCCCCAACATCCACCAACAATTGAACGGGCAAGGACATTGTCTGCGGTCACACAGTGGAATACTATACAAAAAGGAAAAATAAATGAAACCTAGCCACAGGCAATAGCACAGATGAATCTTATAGACAAATGTGAATTTAAAGGAACAAAGCACAAAAAATACTTTTGTGGCTTTATTTATGTGAAGTTCACGGGCAAAACTATACTACGCCGTTTAGGGTAAGAAGCCAGGATGGTAGTTGCAGCTGGTGAGGGCCAAAGGTCATCAGGAGGGACACTCGGGGTCTTCAGGAGATGGCAGAGTTCTAGCTCATGGCCCAGAAGGAGGACCTGGGACTTACTTTAGGGTTGTTTAGTAAAGATAAGTGCATTTCTATTTCATGTGCTTACTTGTACGCAACAGTTCACAATTAAAATGCGTTTTCTTAAGGACAGCTAAGGAAGTAGGGGTGCTTAGTTCAGAAATATGGGGTAAACGCAAAAGCTTTCTTACAACTGTGAACAACTGGGACGTGGATGGGAACGTGTCCTCTTTCCACAGAGTCTCAAAGGAGGAAAAAATTGGGACCAGAGAGGAACAGGCTTCAGCTCAAGATAAGGAAGAATTTCCAATGATCAGAAATGTTCAAAGATGGATGCACTTCGATGGGGGGCTGAGGGGAGATAAATTTCTTTTTATTTAGTGAAAGGACTCAAAGCACACTGATGGGAACCTTGGCAAAGGTCTCAGAGGATGGGTCAGTATGAGGGGGGCCAGGCCAGGTGAGGTTGAGGTGAACCACTTGATCTAGTGAGGGTCTGGAGTGGTGTGAATGACTGAGACTTTTGCAGTCAGCAAGACCTAAGGTTGACACCCAGATCTACCACTAATTAGCTAAGTGACCTTGGGCAAGGTACTTGACCTCGCTGAGCTCCTGTTCTCCCTCAACTGAAAATGAGGCTGCATATGGATGATCTAGCACAGTGCCTGGCACTTAATAAGACCTCGATACATGATGGGCGTTATTATTGAAAAAGGTTTCTTCCAAATTTCAAGTTCTCAGATTTTCTGCATCCGCAAGTATATGTTGTATTAGTTGGTTTTTATTGCAGTAAAGATATAGAACAACACCAGATTGCAGTGGCTTAAAAGAAAACCACACGCATTTACTTTGTGCTCTTGAGTCTAGGGGCCAGTGACAACTCAGCAGGGCTGGGCTCCAGGCTTCTCGCTCCAGCTGCAGGTTGGGTCCAGGTCTGGGCCCTAGACCAGGCCCCCTGGGTCGTGCCCTGGTCCCAGTGGAGGGCGGAGGGTTTGCAAATGACACTCAGAAACACCCGATGCCTGTTAAAGCCACAGCGCGGAATGGCCTCTCCATCACTCCTTCCCGAGTTCCATTGGCCCAGGCAAGTCACATGGCTATGCCCAAAGTCAGTGCCGCAGGGGTGTCCCCAGGGCCACTTTAAAGTCACATGGCAAAGGGGAATGTGGGTCAGTGAAGAATTAGGCACTGCAATCCTACCTATGGCATGCATGCGTTTAAAAGTGACTCTGCTCAATAGGAAAAAGTACATTAAAAAAATCTTTTTTCAAGAACCATGAAGCTATAAAATATAAGGTTCAAAAACCTCGGCCTAATAGAGAACAGAGAAAAAGTAATTTTCCCATTTTATTGGCTTATATAATAAAATCATTCCATAGCTGATTAGTTTAATGCTCCGTGATATGTCATTGAGGAGGTAAACTGGGAGCTCTGGGTCTTCCTAATTCTGGTTCTCACCTGTCGGCCTGAGACCCATCTATTCCTGGTTTTGGTTTTGCCTTATTTTTTTTTTTCATTCTCAGACTCCTTGGCAAATTGAGATCTCTGTATAAGGACCTGTTTTGTCTCTTTGTCAGAGGTATTTAGAGAGGAAGTCATCGGAGTCTGGCCGTAGGCAGGTGTAACCAAACAGAACATGGTCCTGCTCCCCTTCAGAGAAGTGTAACCAGCCTGGGCAGGTGCTGGCCCAGTGGGAACCCCTTCCTGGTGCCAGCATCTCCTCCACACCGACAGCTCCCGCCCAGAGGACGGTGGTCAGGTGCGTCACTCTGGCTGTTGTGTCCCACCTGTGTATCACTTTGAGATGTGCCTGGGAGCCCAGCAGATTGGGCGGGTCCGTCTCCTCCCTGGGGGCCCGGTCTCAGGATAACGAGGAAGCCAGGCCTGTAGGGGGAGCAGGGAAGAGAGAAGCAAGAGGCATGCAACCTGGCGCAGCACAAACAGAGGCTGCCCCAACCCAGGGATGAAGGAAACGGGGATAGAATTGGTGGGGAGTGGAGCAGTCCGTGGATCTTCTAACTTCCCGTGGGAGTCAGAGGTCACGCTGCCTCTCTGTGCTCGTCTCCAGTGCAGTGCTTCAGAAGGAGACACCAGGGACCAGCATGCGGAGCTTGGACACTGTCTCCGATGCCTTACTGCCTGCCCTGCCCCGCCTACTGCACAACCTCAGGCAAGTTTCTAAAATGTTCTGTGCCTCAGTTTTCTCCACAGAAAAATAACCATCCCACTTCTCGGGGTTGTTGCGAAGAAATTAGTTCACAGGTCTAGAGCCTCGGGGACAGTCCCTGGCATGGTCCCTGGCCCTCTCCATCAGTGTGATCTGGTATTATCATTCCAGCTTAAGATGTGCAAACCCTCTGCTCCTTTTTAAAACATGATGTATGCTTCCGGGCGGTGAGGGCTATTAGGCTGACTACGTGAGTGTATAATATATGGGATGGGAGGCAGCGGAAGCACTATCTCTGCCGAGATGCCGAGCGAGGTGGCGACTGGAAAGGATCCAGCAGTGAACTTGAGACATGATTCAAGGTCTGGAGCACCACACCTCCCGGCAAGCAAAGCGGAGAGTGTGTTATTTACTAGAGCCGAGGTGCGGAGGTTTTGGAGAAGAATGCCCAGGCACCAGCTCTCCCGGTTTGTGGGGAAACCGTGGGGGTCAGACTCGAGCTGAGCATCCAGACAGATTAAAGGGGAATCAGGGAGCTGGTTCGCCCACCTGGCAGAGAGCGGTGTGCGTCATTGTCTAGCCACTGAGATTTAAACCCAGGTGTGAGACTTTATCTCCCAAACTTTGTTTTAGCCCTTATGCCTCCTTAAATAAGACACGAAGGTAATATTCAGGTTCCCTGAGACTGCCTCTCTGGGTGAAGTGCAGTGAGAAACTTCAAGAAGATTCCAGGAAAGTTCCAAACAACCCAATCTGTCTTGTGTGACCTTGAACGCGTGCGCCTCAGTTTCCGACCCCCTAATGAGGATGGAATGAAAGCACAGTCCATAACCAGCACCATGAAACACCTGGCTGACACACCAGGCTCCGATCCCAAAGCCACAGTGCTTAGACATCGATGATCTAAAAAGTAATTGAAAAAAGCAAAATTCAATCACGAGATCGCCTTCTGTCTCCAGGATACTGGACAGCCCATCTGATTTTTATTTCCTGGACTAAACAGGGACGCGTAGTCCTGGATCGATATTCCAGCCAGCAGAACAAAGCAATGTGAGGACCAGACCGCCAGATGAGGCAAGGCTGAGACCCATCTCCTCATCTCGCAGGCCTGGGGACAGTTTCCATGGGACCAGGGGAATTGTATTCAAGGGGCTGGGATTCTGGGCGGCTGCACGGCTCTGTGGTCTGGAGCTGTGGCCCCGAAGCGGGTCCCTGTGTCAGTCCAGGTGGGCTGGGGGACACTGCAGTGACAGTGCCCCTCAGCTTCAACGGCCTCCATCCATGGAGGTTGGGTTCTTTCTCCTGCTGTCCATCCATCTCGGTGGAGGGTCTGTGCTGCCTCCTTTTCACCTCGGGACCCAGGCTGATGGAGCCTCATGTCCGCTTGCACTTCCACAGTCTCTGCAGCAGAGGGAAGGCAATTCTAGAGGGCCTTCCACGGGCCAGGAAGGGCCCCATCCCAGAGGGGATACACGCCCATTCCCCTGAAAACTCAGTGGCCCCAGAAACCACACGGGGGCCAGCAACCGCAAACCTGCAGCACCCGTAAGGTGAGAAGAGACGTGTGAGGAACAGCGACAGCGACCACCACATCCCTTCCTGGGCCCCACACACCTCCTCCCCTGCCCAGCTGCTTTGGTCTGTGCCCAGGCTCCATCCCCCTCCTCCCCACCTTGACCGACATGCTGGGTATGTGTGTGTGTGTGTGCACACGCTTGCGTGTCTGTTTATGAGAGAGAGGATGCACAAGAGAGAAGGAGAGAAAGCAATCCTCAGCTCTGCCCTCAAGAAACAAATGACTCCCTGACATCCACAGCCCATTACGGAGGTAATTCGGTCTCTGTAGTCTTTCTCATTACACGCAAACCAATGTTATTATTATTGTTTATCATTTACATGACATGGCAAGTATGTGCTATTCTCATTCCTGCTTAAGATCAGCCCTGCTCGGCTCCGGGTGCCATTCGCTGCCTTTGTCCTCCGGGCTCCCCACCCCGCCGCCCCAACTCCTGAGTCCCTCCCTCCACCCCGGGCTCTCAGCCTGCCCTCCACACCCCCACCTGTCAAACAGCTCCCAGCCCCACCTCTCCTGCCTGTGCCTGGCAGGTCAGCAGCCAGACAGGCCCCGGGGAAAGGCAGCCCCGTGTGAGCAGCAGCTCTCTGCACTGCATCAGGTTCTAAGCCTGTGTGATTCTCCACACGCACTCGAAGCAGGTAAAGTGGAAATTTCCATGCGCACAGTGCAGGTGAGGAAACTGAGGCCTGGGCTGCGAGGGGATGCGGAATGGCCTGCACCACCTCCTGCAGCGCACGAATCACCCTTGGTAGAAGAGAAGGCGCGGAGACAAAGTGACCCCTCTGCGGCATAACTGGTCATCATCTAGGATCTTGGAGAGGAAGTGGCTTGGAGAGAGAGCTCTGGGTTTGGGGACTGATGCTGCCCCGTCTGCACCCCGATGAACTTGAGAAGTGCTTTGCCTTCCATGTCTTTGTTTCGTGGACTGGGAAACGGGGTCACCATGCCCACCCTGCCAGCTGGGACAGGTGAGATAATAGAGCTAATTGAAATAATCACATCAAGCAACTTGGCTTTGAGTCCCTCTGAGGAAGGTTTGGGCAGTGGCTCCTTTGAAACAGCAGTAGCCCAGCAAATGTCAGTAGGGTCGGATGTCCCTAAAAAGCCAGCAACTCAATCTGTGGAAGGTCGTGGGCAAGGCAATCACTGACCTCATCAAGAGGCTGTCCCTTGGATTCCCGGAATGCCATCCTTTACAGCTTTGCTCCCTCATCCAACAAAGAGTAACCAGATGTCCACTCTGTGCCAGGCTGCTTTAAGCATGGGGATCCCGGAGGCTGCCCTTCCTGGGGTCTATGACCTAGTGAGGGGAGAGCCACAATAAGAAGACATCACAATCTCAAACAGAGTCTTGTGTCAGGAAGACCAACAGACTGGTGTGGTGGAGCGTGGCTGCCCATTTTACTGACCTTTATTAACCGTGAGTTTGTCTGCCGGCACTCTGAGCAGCCCCGTGCTCCCCAGCCAGCCCACTTCGGCTGGCTAGCCATTGCCAAGGTTTCTCTGGAAACACTCCTTCAGGAAAGGAGTCTCGAAGACTCCTGAGATCCCCCGGCTAAACAGCGTCCCTCCCACCTTGAATTCTGCCCCTCCCTTGGTACTGGTTTTCTGCACTTGGGAGCTGCCTTTTAAAAATCCTCATAGCAGCCCCAACAAGCAGGCACCATCTTCATTCTCCAAATGAGGAAGCTGAGACGCAGGGTGGGGAGGGGAGCATCCTGTGTCAGGTCCACGTCTGTCTCCTTCCCTGTCTCCTTCCGAAGCCGTTGTTCTCTATACCGCGCCACTGTCTGTCCCACCTCTCTTGTTTGTGCTTCAGTTACTTGTAACGCCTCCTGCCTCCCCCCGTTCTCATTCGGGAAGATTCTGAGTGTGATTTCTCTGTGTGTCTACTAGCCTGTGAGCCCTGGGGCAGGACAGGGTCTGTCTTATTCACCACTGCGTGCCCCTCACTGAGAACAGTGCCTGGCAAATAGTAGGAGCTAGATTAATATGAATGATGAATGAATGAATGAATGAATGAGAGTGAATGAGTACGAAGGGAAGGGAGGGACAGAGGAAAGGAGGACCCACTCCTCAAGGAGCCCAACAACACAGCAGTAGGGAGCAATGTGTCCTGCTTTTCCTTAAATTCCTCTAGAGAGCCCATTCTCTGAGACAGGCCAGAACATGGCTCTGGCTTGGGTCTGTCCCTGCGGTCACCCTCTTCCTGCCTTCCTGGAATCTGACTGCTCTCTCCCCAAGATCTGAACTGTCTCTGGCCATCAATTAAGACAGCTTGGAGCTTATTAAAAGCCCAGAAATTCGGCTGTAATGAGGAGGTCAGCTGAAGGCAGCCATGAGCTGGGAGGGAGCACCGGGCAGAGAGTCCCAGGAGGTGTCCTCGCCTACCTCTGGCACTCCCCGCTTTGCCCTCAGCTTCACTCGCTGATGCCCCAGAATGGCTCTGTCTATTTTCTTCCTTTTCTAAGTGGCTGCTGTCTGGCTCCCCAGAGGAGACAGGATCAGAGCTCTAGACTGAGGGTCTGTGTTCCCCCAAATTCGTAAGTAGAAGCGTGAACTCCTCATGTGATAGAGTGTATTTGGAGATGGGACCTTTGGGATTAATTAGGTTTAGATGAGGTCACGAAGTTGGAGCCCCCATGATGGGATTCGTGCCCTTACAGGAAGAGGAAGAAAAACCAAAGTTCCCCATTTCTCTCTCTCTCTCTCCCTCTCAATGTCCCTTTCTCCTTCTCCCCACTCCCTCTCTCCTTCCCTTCCTCTCTCTTTCTCCTTCTGCCGTGTGAGGCCACAGAAAGAAGGAGGCATCTTCAAGCTACAAAGACAGTCTTCCCCAGAAACTACATCAGCTGGCACCCTGATCACAGACTCTTAGCCCCCAGGACTGTGAGAAATAAATGTCTGTTGTTTAAACCACCAGTCAATGGCATTTTGTTGTAGCAGCCCGAGCTGGCCATCAGCTGACAATCAGGGGGGAAATGGGTACAGCAGATCTCATGCTACAACCCTTGACCTTGACTTACCAGCTTCCACCATCTATCAGAGTGTGGGCTAGACCATGGGTTCTACTGCCAAAAAGATGTGGTTCCTTCTCTGAAAGAGGGCTTGGTCTATGCAGGAGACAGACACAGGGTCAAGAATCATAAAACGCTGGGCCATGATCAAGGACTAAGAAGGTGCTATGGGAGTGTTGGGGAGGCCATCATGGGCCTACCCAGCCCATGGGGGCAATCAGGAAGGTCTTCTCAGAGGAGGTGACTTTGGAGCTGGAACTTGATGGCTGAGTTGTTTTGGGATCCTGTTCTGACCTTGGACTTCAACTTCTGCCCCCTAAGCGGTTCGCTCTCCCAATAGGCAGTGTGACGTCTTCCACAGATGGGTATTGTCCACTTTATGAATAATCTCACCAGGGAAGAACCCCTTCTTGGGACCCTCCCCAATTTCCAGGCCAGAGGGCCACCAGGAAGTCTAAGGGTGCTGAAAATTCTCTCTTATTTGGGTGACAGGCACTGGCTGAAGCCCAGTGGAGACTATTAGAGCCGAGCCTTGGTTTAGAAGCATGTTTTTCCCAAGGGCAGCTCTATTGTTAGGCTGCTACAAAGATATCTTAACAAGCGCTGCCAGAGGATGGGGACGAGTGATGTTGGCTGCCGTCTGCACTCCCAGTCCGGAGGACGGGCCTGTTGGCGAGGGATTCGAAAGTCCTCGCTGCTCTGCACCATTAGCACGACTGTCTCCGGGGTCATCACGCTCTCTCTCCGCACCCCCAGGTCCACCCCAGCTCCACCACCGCCTTCACTCCATTCCCACTGTTGTCACTCCTCTGCATCACTGTCAACACCTTTATCATCTCCTTGGGTGTAACGCCCACAGCGTGGTAACACCTCACCCCCATCAACGAGAATTCTTCACCACTGCTCGTAACAGTCCCCCATTACCACTCTTTACCCTCAAATTTAACAGTCCACACCAGCCTCGTGCAAAATCGTCTGCACTTTTTCTCTCCACCTTGTCTCTGGGGACAGAGACCCTGGGGTGGCATCTGTGCTGATCCTCTGTCATATATGGGACACACTGACCCAACCATGGCCCTTGGAGGAACTGGGCAAGTTGAGTATGACATGGGGCGGTGCTTTCTCCTCTACCCAGGGTGTCATCCCTAAGGCCCCTTGACCTTTAGACACTCCCTCCAAATGGAAGAGTGGGGTCCCGGGGCCTGTCAGCCTCAGATGGCCCTTCCGTGTCCCCTCCTCACCTCTGCACTGATTCCACTGTCTGTTTTCCGCATTTCTCTCTGCTTCCAGACTGCCAATCTCTCAAGGGCAGGTCTGCGTCTTTCTCATCTGCTTCCCCAGCATGAAGTTCAGCGCCTGGAACCTAGCAGCCATAAGGAAGTGTCTATTGACCGGGGATGTTGAAACAGGAAAGAACATTTGCTCATCAGACCCCTGCGGGGCCGGCTGGGCACCAGTGCTTCCTTCCAGGAGAAACATCTTGCCCGGCCGAGCTCCTGCTCGGCGAGGCCCACGCGGAGGCCAGCTCTGCCGCGCCGGGCAGCGGGAGGGCCTGGTGTCGGCCTCGGAAATGAGGTCACTTACGAGCCTGCCTGCACCGCCCGAGCCTTGCACGCTTTCCTTGTTCAATGAGATGTTGTTCTCGAATGTGTTCCTAGGGAATTGGTACAGGGTTTTTTTTTCCCCTTTCTCTGTTCTTTTTTTTCTCTCTTCTCATTCTGCCAGGTTTAGGGGCATAGTTGCTGCTGCTATGGCAGCGGGCTAGAAACAGGGATGAGGGTTTGTGAGCAGGCTGGCCACTGAACTGCCAGCTTCCCTGAGCACGCCCCACCCCCAGCTCTGCTGATGATACGGCCAACTATTTCCTCCGCTGTCTCAGCACTGAAGCCGCCAGAGCAGGGCCAGGCCCTTTCCTCTGGGGCCCGTGGATCGTGGCTGTTGTACAGGGCAACTCTCCCTGTACAACTCTGCTCTCAGCCTCCCCTCCATCTGTGCCTAGGCCAACCCCTTCCCTAGAGGTGTCCTTCCACCAGGGAGCCCACCAGGATTAGCTCTTCATTCCTATCACCTGCCGGTTGAACCCGTGACCCTTTTCTAAGCTCCAGGGCAGTAAGATGCATGTGGGTGGTTCTTCCCAGGTTCTATTCATCAGAGCCCCTGAGAGCTGCTCACTCTAAGCACGGGACCATGGACTGGACGATGATGTGCTGCAGGGCCTTCAGCCAGTGTGTCTGTCTGTCTGTCCCTCTCCCTGCCCCCCATTCCCTTCCTCCCTGTTCCCCCACCCCTGAACACTGGGGACGGGCCCTCCGCTTTCCCCATTCCTGCAGGCTCACAGCTCACAGGGGGCCAATAGGGATGCTTCTGCAAGTGGGGCCGGCACAGACCTTCTCTGCTCCAGCTGCAGCTCCAGTCACACCCGCACCTGGAGCCTGATGGGAACGTGAACTTGCAGCAGCACGCCCGCCCTGGCCTCAAATGCCCTTCCACCTGCTAGCTGTGTGGCTGCTGTCAGGTCACTCCACCTCTCTGGGCCTATAGAGTGAATGTTTTGAGGACATCAGCAGAGAGTTCCGCTCTTGGCAAATGCCCATCAGTGGTAGTTAGCCTTCTAATTCCCACTGTGGCATGTGGCCCTCATGCCACTCCTGCAAGGAAGATACTGTTATCTCTGCTTCATAGATGTAAAAATGGAGGACAAAAGATGACACCTCCTGTCCCGGGTAACTCAGAGGAAGAAATGGGGTCTCTGGTCTAGATTTGCCCACCCCGGGGCCCATGCCCTTCCCATAGGCCCTGGTGCCCACTATAGTAAAAAGGCAGTTCTGTCAGGGTGGGGCAAGGTGCTGAGGTGCAGATGCGGATTGCAGCTTCCCAAACATCACCCATTCTACAGTCCCTTAAGGGAATGCACTCTGGCGGGACACCCAGAGGGCCATCTCTCCTGTGAGTGTTTCCCAAACTAGTTAAAGAGGAGCGAGGAGGCCCAGGCAAGAGCAAGAGCTGGAGAAGCCATGTGCTGACAATAACAACACATTCTTACCAAATTACCCACTCCCAGCATCTCCCATTAACGAGCGATTCTTGCAGGGCAGACATGCTAACAAGATGCTGCTGAACTCCTTCCATGGTTGCGGCTGCCGGTGGGGGAGGAGTGAAAGCTAACGTGGAGGGGAGTCGTGTTCTTAATTACTGAGCAAGGGGGGAGGGTAGCCGGAGAAGGGCTTCTTCGTCGTCCTTTGCGGATCTTTAATGAACCTTTTAACATGCTTAAAAAAATAAATGAAGAGAAAAAATGTTAAAGCTCTCTTTAAAGATTTTGGCAGGTTTGATTAGTGGTTTTGAAAGCCCTAAACGGCTACTTAATTGCTGAGCCCCCTTGACAGCTGGTGAATGGAAGGCGGGAGTGCAGTGGACTGGACTGGCCTTTTCTCTCCCGTGTGCCTTTGCCAACGTGGCGCGTTGGCCCCAGACTTGCTGACCCCGCATCTGCTGCCCACGGTGCCCTGCAGGTGTAGCCGTGCCAAGCAGGCAGATGGACTCAGAGAACTTTCAGGTTCTGAAAGTTCTTGCTGAACGCCAAAAGCAGTGTTCAGAAGGGCAGTCCTGGGGGGTGCAATGAGATGGGTTTGGAGCAGGGTGGAGGGCGCACCAGGGAAATTATGTGAGCAGTGAAATCCTCTCTGGGGTGGTCTGGCTGCCTTGCATTCAATTCAGCGCCCTGTCACTGGGACTGACTCCTGGTGTCACTATAAGAGCATGGGCTTGGGGACCAGGCTGTTCTGTGTTTGCATCCTCATCTGCCCCCTTTTGGCTGTGTGACATTTGCAAATGAGGAATCTGTTTGAACCTCAGTTGCAACATCTATAAATTGGGGACAATTATACCGACATCACAGGACTGTCAGAAGTAAGAAGCTGAATACATATGAATTATTTGGCACATAGGAAGTACTCCCCAAAAGTAAATTTCTCCCATTCTCAGATTCTACTTGGCTACCAGGAGCCCTTTTAATATAAAGGGAACCATACAAGAAAGGGGTGGGAAAGCCACAGTAAGGATATGTAAAAAACGCAAGGGTTTTAGGAAATAGTAAGGATGTTGTTGTGAGAGCTCGGAACCCAAACAACAATGGGATGTTGGCCGTGTTAACAGAGACAGAGTCTGCAGGATGTGAGTACCTTTGCTGTACCGCACTCTGGTGCTCCCCCACCTGGTGGAGTGACGCCATACTTTGAACGAGATAATGGCCAAGGGGATTAGATCTGGACAGAGACTGGGGAGCGGGACTCCACACCTTACCGCGTGGAAAGTCGATGAAGGAATGAGCCCTGTGCAGCCAGAGGAGAGGCGAGGTTGACGAGAGAGCTGACAGATTCTTGGTAGTCTCAGATGTCCGACACGTGGTCCCTTGAACACGATAAATGAGTGGTCTGAACCAAAGGGTGGAAATCCTTAAACACTGAACTTTGCTTAAAGTTAAGGAGGGTTTTTTCCAAGTCAGAGCCAACCAATTGTAAAATTTATTTATGCAACAATATGGACCAGGAGCCGTCCTCGGTCCTGGGGTTAAGGAAGAGAGCAAGACGAAGGCTTCACCCTGATGGAGCCCCCCCGTCTACTGATGCAGGCTGTCCTGGAGGTGGCAAGTCCCTGGCCACACAGACTGGACGGCTTTTTGGAGAGGCTGCAGTGGGAAGGAGCATCAGATGAAGGCTGGACTGAGTGACCTTGACCGCGGTGATTTCAGTCGACCATTGCCAAGCTCTGGCCTTCCCTTCTGCTGATGACAGCTTTCCTTGACATAAGTAGAGGCTGGGATACAGGCTGGCTCTGGATCTGGAAGCCAGGAGTGTGGTGGCAGTGGGGGTTGGGCTTGAGCAGCGCTGTTTAAAGTGTATATACATGTCCATCTAGGTTTTGCCTGTCCAGAGTATGGACCCCGTACTCCTGGTAACTGTGCCCTGATTCCCCTGCAGAGTTCTTCATCCTGCTCCCCTCTCAGTCTAGGCGGTTTATATGGTATTGTCCCCTTTTTTGCTCCAGAAATGGGCATGTGATCTAGGCCTATCTAATTAGAGCATCTTCTTCTCCCAACCACAACGATTGGTTCAGGGATGGGCATGTGACCCAAGCAGGGCCAATGGGAGGCCAGAGAGTCAATGCTGGACTTTAGTAGGGACGGGTGAAAAAGAGGAAGACTTTCTCACTCAGAGAGTAGAATAGAAGCCTGGGGCTGCTGGCAGCCATCTTGGCACCATGAGGGGAGGGCCTGAGAATATAGTCAACCTGAAGGAAAGCAGGGCTAAGTGATGGCAAGAAAAAGATCAATATGTTCAGACTGGAACTTATTATATCTTATGCAAATAAAATGTTTATATTTTTATGGTATCCTGATATTTTTAGAGCCACCTGGATTTGAGCAGACCTGAAGCTTTCCCCCAAACTTACATGATCTGTGGCCAAAAACATCATCTGTTGTAGTTGTTGTGTGTGAGCCTATCTAAATTAGTTTTTTTTTCTGTCACTTGTTCCCAAAAGAGTTCTCTCTGGTCCAGGGGACTCTGTTCAGCATAACATGGTTGTTCCCTCTCCTGGCCAGTCTCAGAGGACCAGAAGAGAGGAAGCCATTTGAAAAGGACCAAGAGGGGACCTGGGAACGTCCCAGAGGGCTCCCCCTAGAGGATTAATGTGGAACTATTAAATACATCCTTGGTCTTGAAGATATTAGAAACTGGGCAGCGGGGCCTTTAATCCTGATGGCGTAATGCCAGATGCAGGAAGCAGATTAAAATGTGCCCACAGGTCTGTTATCACCCTGTTTGTGTTATTTTAGGGGATGAAGGTTTGCATGCTGCTCCCACCTCAGGCCAGGGCACTGGGCACCGTGAGTCAGGTTGCCAAGGCCCCCTGGGAGGGAGTGTTGCTGGGCCCACAGACCATCATCATCATCGTTATTACATTAAAAAACACATTTGATGGGTATTAAAATCTCAAGCAAGGATAAGCAGACCTGCAGACCGGGCGCCTGATGGTTCCCTTGTGTAGGCCCCTGACAGGCACTTGACTTGACTAATAACACTAATTTGTAGCTAATAAGCTCCCCTTCAGCTAGCAGGTGGAGAGAGGGCTTCCGGAGGCACAGGGACCTGGAATGCTGGCTCCCAGAGTGGGGGGGCGTCCCAGCCCCCACCCCCAGACACTTTGGGACAGGCACAGCTCAGTCCCCGTCCTGGCGAGGTGAGCTAGAGAAAACCCAGGGCCTCACCGCCAAGGAAGGAACATCAGGCTGAGCCCCCACATCCGGCACCTGGCAGCAGCAGACCCCGTTGCTGGGGGCCACCCACAAGGGTACAGTGGGAGATGGAGGCTGCTGGCCCCTGCAGCCATCCCGTGCACCCCGCAGCACCCCTGCCCAGCAGACATCAGAGGAGGACTGAAGTGGCACTTTGTGACAGTTCATGGGGGGGGAGAGGACATCGGGGTTGGGAGGACAAAGCAGCAGGGCATCCGCCTCATTGATCTGTGTCAGCTGGAGGGTCTCCTGGTGGGTTTAATTCAGTGACTTTCACAAGGAGCCAGGGAGGCATAAGATGCCCGTGGGTGAAAGTGGGGGTGCGGAGGGGGGTGAGCGGGAAGCCGGGTGAGCTGTCCTCTGTGCTGCTCCCTGGACATTCTCCTCTCACCTGTTAAATATATTGGGGTTCCATGGAAAATGTCATTCAAAGGAAAGAACCCATGGCTTAAAGAAAAATGTTTGCAAACCACTGGCATAGTCCACACCCCTCCCCACCCCGACACCTCCACCCCTGATGCAGACCTTTAACTGAAACTCAGAGAAAAGAGCTTCATTGTTTTGAGCCAAGATGTGTTTGGTCCCTAACAGGACATAGGCCAAGGTGTCCAAGCTTGCGACCTTGCCAGGAATGAGGGTAGGGAAAGGCCTTGGGGGGATGTGGAGCTGGGACCCCCATGGGACCCCTCAGGGAGCCAACAGTGGCTTGGGCCTGGAGAGCTGAGCCCTGAGGACTCCCAGTGGTCTTAAGGGAGGCAGGAAAAATGGGGCCCATTTTCATGTGTTCTGGACAATGTGTGCCCCAGCCAGAGGACCCCAGAGGTAGAACCCCATGTCCCTGGGGTTGCCAGGGGCAGGTTGGCTCTTGCAGTTGTCCGGGAATCTCAGGTGGGAAACTCACGTGGAGCTAGATGCCCAGACAGGGGAGATAGGGGGTGTCTTAAGGGCAAATAGTGGGATCTGTTGTTACTGATCTCCATACAGACTGCCGTAGTCATGCTCTCCAAGTCTTACCCCCTCTCTCTGGAAAGTTGAGCGCAACCTGGGTCTGAGCTCTGGGCATGGCTGCAGTCCACCCTCCCGACAGCTGTCTGCACATCTGGGACAGCTGCTGCTGGCCAAGTCGGCACCTCTGATGTGCCAAGCACTCTACGGAGTCATTTCATCCTCCGCATCAGCCTGGATGCTGAGAAAGACGCAGGTTTAGGGGAGCGAGAGGGCTCTCCACGCCAGAGAGGGAGCAGGTGGCAGAGCTGGGTTGATAAGCAGATTTTCAGTCTCCTATTTGAGTGTTCAAACCCTTCCCCAACACTTCCCATGTCTGCGTTGCCCAGAGGGTGTCAGAGATGAGACGTCTCCCATTGGGTCCGGGAGAGCACTCGGGAAGATTTCTGCTCCCCTCCTGCTGTCCCAGGCACTCCACAATGGCCTTTCTCAAAGATGGTCCATTGGATGTTGTTCATGGGGCTCCATAAAAATAGAAAGAAGGATGGCCAGTCTGCTCATTTGGGAGACCTTGCATTAAACCTAAGTAAACCAGTTTCTTTTTGCTTTTTTTTAGGACTTCTCATTTCCTTCACTATGATGACCCTGTGCCCTGTAAGTTTCTTTCCCATTGGATCATTTTCATCTGTGAGGCCAGACTGAGCTATGCTGCAGTAACGAAAATGTCCAACATTCCTGGCTTATGACGACAATGGTGTGTGTCTCACCCACACTCTGTGTGTACTTTGGGTTGGCAGGGGGAGTTTGCTCACGGTAGTCACTCACTCTCAACAGGCGCTACCCAGCAGGAGGCTGAGAAAGTCCTGAGGGTCTGTACCAGCAATTAAATGCTCCAGTCTGGAAGTGATCATACTGCTGCTGCTCACAGCTCATCGAATGGAATGAGTCACCTGGCCTCACCCAAGGCTCAGGGGGCCAGGAAGGGCACCGCTGCCACCTACC